TCTCAGCCACACGGAGTTCGGAAGAGGAAAGTCGGCCTGTACTGTTCTAGAAAGTCAGCCACAGAAACAGAAGATTGCACCTCAGTAGAGTAACAGAGAGGGAATACCAACAACGTTTTATAAAGGGGGAACAACCTGGACAGGCATAAAGACGGGACAAAAATCTAGCACTGAAATGAAAAGGGGTGCAGAACAGAGATCAATAACGACAAAGGTCAAATCAAACAATTCACTTTCTAAAACGAAAATAAAGAAAAGGAGCGACGAGCTATTATTTATGTATTAAAGTGGGAAAGAACCTACTTACTGGAACGCAAGAGGACTGAGGCTCTTTCCCTCCCGGGCAACAGAAGCCGGCTAGGCAAGTGCCTCCCACCTTTCGACACGATGCATAAAGGAGGGCGGAAGGCTCTTTCCTTCGATGTCCATGTTACCAGAGAGGGCCTTTCACCTGCCTAATTTTGACCGTTGCTTCACTTGGAGCACCATATGTGACCCTTGTAAACATCGCCAATGGAAGGAACGAAGACGAGTCATTCAGCCAAAGCGGCCGAGCAAAATGGCCGCTGTTTAGGCTTAATCTCCATTTGTTTATCGCCATTTTTGCTGTCCCCATGGTCACGACCGCCTTCGCCCAGGAATTTATGGCCGTGGAGGGACAATTACAATGACATGCGGCCTCCATTCGTGAGGGACAAGAAGCCTATCATGAAACTGTGCCAGGAGGCTTGGCCCAGAGGCCTATCATCACGACCACATTCGCTCGCTTTGTTGTCCACGGGCTTTCCAAGAGGCATTTTTAACAGACTTTCACTTAATTTCTCAAATAAAGGCGGCCCTATCGAAAGGATATTCCTTTTCGACCATTTGTTAATTCGTAGATGACTTCAAAGAATGCGGCTCTAATGGCGGCTGCTTCAATTGCGAGGCCACCAGCGGGTAGTTCGCGAAAAGGCAGAGTCCCCCGGCATCGCCAATAGTCGAGTACGGGGCATAGAAGTCATGGGACTCGTCAAGAATCATTGCTTCGGATTGTTTATATCATGATAACCCATTCATGCCTAGATGTGATCGTAAAGATAAGGGGTTCCCTGGGGAGAAGGTCGGGAGTCAACGCAACGCCCCTTGCGACATACACCCAATATCGAGAAACCTGTTCTTGGACAATCTTTCAACTCGGGACTTTGAGAACTGTATTCTTTTTTTGGCATATAATTCAATATTGTGAGAATGAAGCGCAAAGAACGCGCCGGTTCTTTATCCTGCGCATGACGGAGGAAGACAATGATGCCGCCGTATAGTTTTTACTGTAATCTTCACTTGTGAATGGAAAAGGCTGCTCCCTGCCAGTTTTATTTTTCACATGAGGTAATCTGTGTTTAATTGAGTCACTAAACAGCCTTTAATACGCATCTCACTGACCATGGCGTTGGTGAGGATCGATATTGATTACATGGTGAGGAGAGAGGCATCTGCTTGCGCCTCAAGTCAAAGTCACATTAGCAAGCAGATATACTACAGAGCGTGCGAACTTGGTGTTAAATGTGCATAATGAATGGTAAATAAACACCCAATAAAAAAGAAAATAGTCCCAAGAACAGCTCACAATGTCTGATAGATCACCATCGTCGCGCCGCTACCACATCGGCACGTACAAAGAGCCACAAGACGAATTTGACCACGCAATATAATCTGCAAATGTCAATCGGCCAATTAGTCCCAGAAATAACAGTCATGGCTTGAAAATACAAGACTGGACTGAATATGGATGCCTGCTGTGGCTCTATCTTCCGTCGAGGTTGCAACAAGGCGAAGAGCAAGCATCTGTCTCGCTCGCTTCTTTTTGTGCAGCCCCATGTATGGTCATGGCTCATAGAGTCCCATCCATTCTTTGCATTCTAGACCTCTCCTCCGTCATGGGACGCTTGGAAACCGTGCACATAAATAAAAGAAACCTGCAACATGCAACGCTAAAGCAGGAGAGATGGACGGCTCTGCATGCATCATCTGTGATAACCATTCAGAGTGTCTCCTTTCACTGTTGCCTACGAAGGCCCTATAAAGAGCCTCAGCAGGTATTAGTCGTTCCTTTACATTTTATTATATTAAATATATTTGATCTGCTGTAGTGAGACGCTGTTGTCCCCCATAGTGCGCCATTAGTATCCTCCGACTCGCCTCACTCTTTGTTTTGTGGATTTCTATGATTTCGATTTCTAATGAATATCATCGGCACAATTTGGGATTTTGAATCGGCTCGTTTGTAGCCCATCGATATGTATCATTTTGTTCTCTGGTCCTGTCTATCTGCATCAGTCCTTAATACGCCGTACAGCAGCTACGTCTGGAATGTGCTCGGCTTTGGCCCCATAGCCACACCGTTTTCACGGCCCGCGCTTGTCTCAATGCAGTAATTCCCCTCTAACACCGATTTTGGCGGACAGAGACAAACGTGGCGCAGAAGATTGCTTGGCCGCACTGGACGCGGCCAGGTCTGCGCAAAGCCTGCTTGCAGACGAGGACGCCGAAGCAATCTCCTTGCATACACGCAGAACACAGGCCCGAAGCATGCATAATGACATCGAAATGGTTTCGTCTATGATGTCGGGTTTTTTTTTTTTTTTTTCTCTCAAGGTATTGTTCCATCACACGCTTTATGAGCCACCGAAAAAATTTCATGTCGCCGAAATCTGATTAATTGTATTGAGAGTCATCCTATCTCTCTACAGATGATGATAACCGGCGCTTTACTGATATTGTTTATGTATACATGGTAAATGATGAGAAAACACAGCGTTTATCCTCCTTCTGCGAGCACAGTCGTACCTTCTGCAGTAGCCCGACATTGTCGAATGGCACAGATGTGGTGCGGGGAAGGAGCAACCTTCTGTGACACCAACCACAAAAGCCTCACTAACAAAATCCAGGATAAATCTCGCCTTCAATTTTAGATGCCCTCTCTATTTCTCTTCCGCCGGCTTCAATATGTTACTTGGGCCTCACTGCTGCCTGCTACCATACTACGGCATTCTCTAAGAACTTTCTCCAGTTCGCCCAGCGTTCAGCCTCTTCCCCCATTGCCTTCTGAATGCACCCATTTGAGTGTTTTGACCTGTTACCTTGGCCGCTTTATGCGGCCGCTTATGCGGCCACTCAGGTAGACTGCGCCTGGCTGGTCTACCATTCGTCGTTCCGTTTGATTCTCGCTACTGTCCCAGCGATCTTTGTGGCCATTCCCCTGTCACCAATGCTGTATTTCCTAGCCGTTGGTCGCTTGTTTGTACGAGAGCTTGGGCGCGGCCCAAAGTCACACCGCACCCAATCTTCCAGTGGCGGATACAATAGAACCTGAAGAGAAGAAAACAAACGAATAAAAGACCGCATAGGTTCCAAGGGGAGCCCGAGTTGGTGTGGTATTTCGCACTCCACCTGGCCTCGAAATTGGCCGCGTTTGACGTACCCAGCCCCAACGCCGTCATTCCACGAGAACAGGTTGCACAGGGCAGCGAATAATAGCACCCCATAGTCCGTCAAGCTATGCCTCCATCGGCGGTCGCGATCACAGACGTTATCTACGTTGGGGCTGTATTTACAGAATAGGAACAGAATGTGTTAAAAATCTGAACAGTCGCCCTTTCCTTGTTTGGATATTGTGGCACTGCCTGATGGGGCATGCATTTCTCCGGCTCTTGCCTCCCCGGGATCCGAGCAATGTTAGTATTCCCCTGTTTCCAAAACTTCTAGCATCTCTACCGTTGGAGACCGAAACTTTACCTTCTCCCTCCAAGCAATTCCGGTGGCAGTGTCTAACGACGTCCAAGTGGGACCGGCGAGATATTTGGCATCCTCGGACCCTCGACCTCGCATCTCGAACACATACGGTACGCAATGTAAGGCTGTTGGGTTAATCTTGGCCTTGAGCCGGCCGACTGTTACTTGAAAATTTTGTCATCCCGGCACATTTTTTATCGCCTTGGTCTTTGCTGCTGGCCACATTGTGGTCGTCATGGGCAAAATCACCGTCGCACAGCCGGGACTTGGATGCATCATGAGGACATGGCCTCAAAGAGCCGGCGGCCGCGCTCGCCTCGATACACACAAGGCAGAAGAACCCGTTAGCTGTCAGTGATTTCCCACGGTCAAAGTACACTCGACAGGCGACATTTAACAGGCGGCGATGTCTTTTGTCTCGTTCAAGCCATGGCTGAACTGAATAGGCGATTCAGGCTGGAGCTGCATCGGTCATACGGTAAGGCCTGACTGCCTTTTCTGGCCTTTGTTTCTGGCCGGTCAAGACAGAACACTGTCATATTTTTGTTGGTACCTCCGCCTCATTGCTACATATCTTCCACTTTCGCCGTGTCCACTATCCATGGCCAGTCTCTCTCCACCCACTCTATACCTATACCATCCATCCCCGTCACTCCCCTTCCCCCACGGACGTTGTCTTAGTGTCTATTGTGTAACCTATCCTGCATGCTCTCCTCGCTGCAGTTGCGGCTCGGCCGGTGGGGGCATATAAATCTTTTCGTTGCTGCCTTGTGCTCTTCTCATTTCTGGCCCCTTTTCTTTTGCATCAGTCTGTTGATCGAGGAGATGTCATGGTATCGATGGCCTCATCTGCTGCTTCTCGTCCGCCCGTCCCTTTCGTTTTCTTTTAGTTTGGTCTCTTTTGTCTGCTGTTCTGCCAGAAGCCCTCTTTTTCGCTTCATACTCAATCTTGTCATGTTATATATAATCTTACCCTGCCCCCATTGCCATCCAACTCCTTTCTTCACATCATAATAATCCTGTTTCTATTGAGTCTCTGGGAGTTGCTAGAAATTTGTGCCGGCACTATTTCCTACTCAACGCCTCGACACCTCAATACTCATATTGTTTCTTTTGTTTGCATATTTTCATTCTTACGTCCACTTGTACCTCTCACCTTCATTTTGACAAGCCACAGGACACCCTATTTCCATACCTTTCAAACAACCTTCAACCTTTTGTAACCCAAAATGACCACACCGTCAAACAACAACTCCTCTAGTCCCCAGAGGGCCACAGCGACACGAGACGCCATCCCTCTTCCCGACGCGGCTCGCCGTGTCATACGCAATCAGCGAGGAGGTGATATGCACAGCACGCGCGGTGTGCAGATCCTCCAACGAGATACACTGCCTTCCAGTCGGTCTGCTCGGCGTGTGCTCACGCCTCAGATGCAACAAGCTCATGGCTCGCTCGGCAGCTCACAGCGGATGCCCACGCTCCAAGAAATGTACAACACGTGGCGCTCCCTTGAAGAACAGATCAGCCAGATGCGCCGCCTTCCCATGTTCGTCAAGGCTGAGCTGAAGTTCTGTCACGGTTGCCGTATCCTCAAGATCCGTGTACGTGCCTCTCTACCCCACTTGACATAAAATTAAATTATGTTTTGCTTTGAATACTAACACTAATCATTCCCAGTGTACATGCTTCGACTACTCTCAATTGGAGGCGGCATACCAAGAAAAGGACCGCATACTACGATACACAGCCCTTCGCGAGTTCCCCATCGAGGGGAGTGAAAGTGAGGAAGATGTCACCACAGAGACTGTGTCTCCTTCAACGGGGTCCGTCACTGCTACTCCGTCCAATACACTCACAGGTCCTTCGGCCACTCCTTCCACATTCCAAGACCTTCCTTTAGTAAACAATCTTGAATTCGTACCTGCAGAAACCTATGCGGTCAACCTGCACATGGGAGCTCAACTCAATCATCCCGTCGCGGATACCAACTTCACGGCAGATACAGTTACGTATGGTACGGAGACTGTTCAAGATGTCGAGGCATCCGATTTTGATTTCAACACAGCCTTGACTACGTCCACTATTGGCCCTACCTCGCAGAACAACGCAATGACTTTGTTATCACCGTCGTCTGCTGGGCACCGCCAGAGCACTACAGTGCCTGCATCTGCAGGCGCTACCGCTCTCACTCACACTCCGACACTGGTCAAGTTTGAGCTTCGCACTATCATCATGGCAAAAGAGAAGATTGGCACCCAATCGCGCCGTTGGCAGTGCCAATACGGTCTGTCTGACAATCCCGAGGACCCTATCTGCAAACGCGAGGATGACAACATGGACACAATCCGCCGCCACTACGGCCGTGAGCATGGCAGCCACCGCTTCCACAAGAAGCCAATCCTCCGCATTCGCTGCAGCCACTGTGATATTACATACGACAAGCAACGCCCTCCTTCCAAATGCCCTGGCTGCAAGGTTGACCATGGCATTTGGCTCCGGGAGATTTTCGCGATTATCGAAGTGCCTGTGCCTCTCAACAGCCAAGAGGAGACCAACGGTGGGGCCGGCCCTGGCCATTCGGGCGGTGTCTCTAGCAGCTTCGGCGGCTTCGGCGCCTCGAGGGGATTCGGTGTCTCTGGAATCCCAGGTGCGGAGGGTGCAAGCGGTCTTCACGGTGCCGGCGGCTTCGGCAACGCTCATGGGCCCGGGACCGCTGGAAGTCCCGGTGGCTTCCATAGCGCCGCTGGGCCCAGCGTCGTCCAAGCATGCAGGCGGCAAGTCGACAGTACAGAGGCCAAAACAATCCCATACGACCCAGCCACGGGTATGCCAGAGTGTTACAACGACATCCGCAACAACACCACGGCTGTGCCGGTCATGCCACTGCCCGGTGCCGTGGCCCACCCCAGCGACTCTCCCGTGCAACGACCGTCGTCGTCGTCGTCTTTGTCGACAGCTCAATCCCAGGCACAGTCGCTGTCGCGGTCTCTGTCTCAAGCACAATCGCCCTTCACCCAAGGTTTCTACGCCGTGGGCCGCGGCTTGCCTTTGTCGCCTGCCACGCACGTAGCCTATGCCATAACGACGCCGTCAATGTCGCCCGGGACGCCCATGTCGGCGACCTCGCCGGCGTCGAATGCCAGCAGCGCATACGACGCGGAGACGGCGGCCATGTTTCCGCGCGAGTTTCAGGGTATGGCCGTAACCGATGGCCAAGGCCAAGTGGACTTTGCAACTCTGCCCATGGTCAACAGCGATGCCGCTTTCGGTGGTCCTGTTGGCGGAGTTGCCGGTGAAGGCGGCGGTGTGCACAGCCGTGCAACTGACTCTCCGACCGTTGTCGGCCACCACGACACCCCCGGCATTGGCGCCGGTTCGGATCAGGACTCAGAATCTGCGCAACCGCCGGCACCGTCAGGCACGGTCAGAATGGTCGACGTCCAGATGTTCATGGACATGGCGGCTGCTCAAGTGGCCCCGGCAGTTTCCCCTGCTCAGAATGATGCCCTCAGCAACAACAACGGTCCCTGGAAGGGCAAGTGCACCACCGAGAGCGAGTTCTTTTATTTTGCGGATTAGAGGCCAGCCTGGTGCTGTCTCTTTTGCTATGTAGCGTATCGGCGATTGTTTTTTGTTTTTATTTGCGTTTCTGTTTTCTTACCGTCAAGACTGATTCCCCGACTTTGCTGTCACATATAGTCGTCTTTCTTTGGAAGGTTGCGGTTGGTGTTGACGAAGATCGTTTCCGTTGTCGTGCGTTTGCTTGTTTCGTCCTGTCTTTGACGGGGACATTGCCCTTGGCACAATCTGCAGAAACCGTCGCCAGGTAGAATTCGTTTTAGTCTTAACAATAATCAATACACATGAGCAATCCAGTTGATTTGGAGGCTCTGTTCTTCTCCGTTGAAAAAATCCAAGTCATGATGGCAAATAGAAAGGACGTGGATTTACACGACGCGAGGCATTCCCAATACGTGAAGAATAAGATGTGTTAAAGAAGTCAAACCAACAAATTCGAGGCTGTGTTCAGGGGACATGTTGGACAGCCCGCCCCCTCCCCAAAAAACGCCATTATGGCCAAAGCCATCCAGATGTGCCTCGATGTGGAGATCCGCTGTCCACAACAGGACATGCTACCCTATTGGAGGACTAGGATCGTCAAGCCACAAAGGTCGCTATGGAATATAGCTCCATACCTCTGGGTGTGGCGGAGGCACGAACTCAACCAGACAGCTATGGTGGACCCCAGAGGAGATAAGATCCCAAGTCCCAGTCGAGGATCACAAGCAGGGAGTCTCCAAGTCTTGGGGTTCGAATTTCTCTTCGAAATCATTGAAGCTGCTTCTGACTCGTTTCGTCGTTCGATCGCTCCTTCTGTGACACGAGCCACGAGAAAAAGAGTCAATTCCTGCAGTCCACCCCATTCAGTTTTGTACTTCGTATGTTGCATCGACGTATTGACCAATGGGGTAAAACAGACTTGCAGGGAAACAGCGACCGATCCGTGTCGTGCGCTCTGCGAGTGAGTCACTGGCCGGACCATGACAAGCAAACAAGCGCCTCTCATTGGCCAATTTTCACAACCAGTCCACTTTGTGGGTGGCCGGCTGTAAAATATGGAGGGATGGAGAGCGGAAAGTGGGGGAGGCTATGTGTCTGGTGCTTGTGAGTGCGTGATGAGTGTGTGGGGCCTGCTTCTTGCGACGAGATTCGTTCCTTCCCTCACTCAGTTGCTCCGCTGGTTTGCTGGGCTGGGCTTTGGCTTTGGCGTTGTCTAAGGTGAGGAAACTGCGCCTCGCTGGGCTTTTCGCGCCTTCCTCTCTGAGACAGGCCTCTCGTAGCACAAGTGCCGTTGTCTGTCGAAAGCATGGCAAGTCCGACTGAGAGTGTATGTTGTATTCTCTTTTAATATCATGCTTCGTCCTTTCTCTGTTTCTCGTGATTTGACTTCTCTTCTCTCCTACAGCATCTTCACATCCATATACGCCCACGAATACTCGTCTAATTCGGAGCCCCGTCCCCGTGCGAAAGCACCCCCTTCTCAGCATCGCAACCCGTCAACTTCTGCGATTCACGTCACCTCCCATAGACCTCCCATAATTATCAATATCTCAATATCTCAATTCCAAATCACACGCTACCAACACCAATTCGTTTTTTAATCAAACGGACAACATTCAAACAAACAGACAAATCAATCATATTAGTCGTATCAGACCAAACTCGCCAACACTCGACACAAAAGATACTTTTCAGGACTCCTTGCTTCCGTCCTCAGCCAACCAATTGACCAATTACACCCAAAAGCACGAGCTTCACCCCAGCCCATAATCAACCAACACTTAGGACCCATAGTTACCAATTCTCGTCTCATGGCTCATCAAGGTAGCTTCAGCAGTGCTCACAGCTCCATCGGCTCTAGCTCCCCTGCTTCCAGCACCAGCGCCGCCTCAGTCACCGCTGCTTCGCCGACCACCGTCAGCTTCTCTGTCTTCCAGGAGGGCCCTGGCCGTCCCCTCGTCTTCGCTCCACCTCTGGGTACTCCCGAGCTTCAGGCTCTCGTCGATCTCTTCATTGCTCTTGACGTCCCCGTTTCTATGAAGATGGAGATGATCCAGCGTGACTTTGAGGCCCATACTGCTCGCACCAACGAGCGGTACAAGACCTACTTCGTGCCCTCTGCCTCTTCCACGCCCACCGCCTCTGCTCTCGTTCACTCGCCTTCGACCTACACCGCCAGCCCCAGCCCAATCTTCCACAATGTCTTTGACACCAACTTCAACCACCCTGCTTCTACCGGAAGCGGTAGTGGAAGCGGCAGCCTGTACCTCGATGCCAGCCCTGCCCCTCGCCCATCGCCGACCGAGTCGGATCTGACGGTTGCGTCGGATTCTCTGTTCCCTCTTTCTGTTCCCATGTTTTCTGCTCCCCAGTTCGCCGATGTTAATGCTGCCTTCGCCGGCAACTTCTTCCCGGTCGCTGTCGACCAGAGCCCTGTTGCCTTGACTGCGGCTTCGATGTGGCCGGTGGCGACGCTCACAGCCACCGCCGCCCCGGCTGCTCGCCGGACTCAGCCGCGTCAGTCTGCCGCTCCTCCTCCTTCTCAGCGTCGGAGACTCTCGGGCAGCAGCAGCATGCAGATCCTCACGCGTACTGGTGAGGACGTCACCCATGTGTCCAGCCGTGGTACCCGGACACACGAAGAGCGGGAGAACACTCGCCTCGTGCGCCAGCGGGGTGCCTGTCCTGACTGCCGCCGGAAGAAGACCCGGTGCAACCCGGACCACGCCGGCTTCACCGCGGAGCATGTGAGTGCTCGCGCTGGTCCGTACGCTGCTCCTGCCCAGTCTGGCCGGGCCAAGGCAGAGGCGGCCGCAGCCAGAGCAGCCAAGGCTTCCAAGGCCAAGGTGGACGGCAAGAAGACCGTGACCACATCTGAACCTGTCTTCGCTGCCCCGCAGCAGGCACCGAACGCTACCGTGCTCGCCGGCATCGAGGATGGTGGTGGTGGTGGCGTAGGACACATACCGCCGCTCGACCTCGACGTCTTCTCCGACTCTTTCGACTGGGAGCAGCTCGCCGCTGACCAGGGCCGCCTCTTCACCGAGGATGACCTTGAGCTGAGCATCGCTACCACGCTTTCCATGACCATGCCGACCACCACCAGCGGTGCCACTGCCGCTGCTTCGGCTTCTTCTTCTTCTACTGCCACCACCCAGGCTCCCATCGACCCGCACAGTGTTCCACCATTCCGACCTCCTCCGCCATACCGACCTACGGACGCTCACCTCCAGTCCAGCCGCAACATGAACGCCCCCTCCACCACCGCCTCCCCTGTCTCTGCCATTGCCTCTGCCAGCCCTGCTGACCAGGCTCCTCAAATGGGACGCATGATCAGCCCTGCCGTGGACTTCAACAACGGCTTCGCTGGCCCGGCTGCATTTGCCAACGACAACTCGGCCGTCTTCGGCGACGCCTCGGAGACCTTCTTCTCCGCTGTGAACGCCTCCATGACTGGGTCTTGCGTTCAACCTGGCTCCGCTCAAACCGGCGGGCTGACACACGCCGGGCCACTGCGCACATCAGGCTCACTACCTGCCGGGGTTGATTTGGGGCAAATAGATTTGGGCGACGACGACGGTCGGGAATTAGATAGGCTTGACACCGGAGTCACCCACCCTGAGGACGAGGAACGCGAGCGCGGCAGGCCAACCGAGTTTACGAGACGCGGCGTCAATATACCTGACCGTGGCAGGTTTACGCCCTTTGGTAACCGCAGCGAGCAGAGCTGGTCAACACTAACGGGCGAGACCAGCTGTGGACCTCGTTCTACAACCACGAGCGCACAAGCAACCGCCACCGTCACGCCGCCTATCCTGAAGACAATACGCGGGTCGCCTTCGTCCGCCGAGGCGGGGGTACCGCCCAGCGACTCCCTCTCCACGTCACAAGCCGAGCCAACACCGTCATCTTCGACACCGCCACTGTCGCCTGCGGACACCACCGTGCTCCTGACAGTAATAGCTAACTTCACAGCGTCGCTGCTGCTGCCCGCCTACTTGGCATGGACAGCGGCGGCGGCGGCCGAAGCCGAAGCCCACGACAGCCTGGTGTCCGACTTGGAGGTCCAGCTCGACCGGATGAATCTCGCTCCCACCCTTGTCGCCTGCCAATAGTATTTGAGAATACTGTACTGGTGGGAGAGTCGAGGCGGTGGTCGAGGCGTCGGATGACGAGATGGAAGAGGATTGTCGACGGGTGCCCAGTGCTCGGTGAGGGGCGAGGGCGAAAACACGGGGAGGTGTGAGCAGTGGATGAAGAGCAAGCGAAGATTTGATTTTTTTGAATTTCTGATTTTGATTTGTCTTCCGTTTCACTTTTTTCTTTTCCGGCTCATTTCCTTTATCTTTCGATTCCGGTGTATTTGTCCCAACGGTTCTGGTATTTTTATTACTTTGATGTTATTTTATTCATTTGTTCCCTATTACCTACTAGTTTTGTTTATTTTCTGCTCTCTTCCGAGTGTGCTTTCTACACACCGAATATATGAATTACTTTATCCATGACACTTAAAAGTTTGGTGACATAAAGACATCCGAGGCTCTTGTTTTCTGCGAAGAGCTCTCCTGAAGCTTGCCATAATCTCAAGATGCTCGTCTTCTGAAACAAGCATTCGACAGTTGTCGCACAGGTACCAACGTAGACAAACACAGACTGACAAGTTAAATCAGAGACAAAAGAAAACTCGCGAGATGTCAGAATTTGTTGTGGCCGTCGAGGCAATGACTGGTTCGAGTGTTTCGCCATGTGCAACTTGCGGTGGTCTGACAGGATCCCGCTTGGTCACTGCAGAGCTGAGGGAGGCCGCGTCTGCTAATGTATACCCAACGCTGGCGGAGACTTGCAAACGCACGATGTGAGCCGTTTCGTCATGCACCTTCGTCATAGACATACTTGCACCTTCCTTTTCTTCACGATTGTGATCAGTGGCGATTCCTAAGTCCATCATGCTAGAATTGGAAAGAGACTGGATCGTCTTCTTTCCTTTATAGCAGCTGCCAGTGGCAGTTTCCTAATTTCGGCTCGGACACCGGAAACGGAACGGATAAGGAAAGAACAACCAGCAACGACAACAAAATATTTAGTCTCTGTCGCCGTGTTAGGAGAAACAGGCAAAGGGGGAAAACCCAAGAAAAGGGAAGAGGTGCACAATGCCTTCCAAAAAGGCCCGCCGGGCAAAGAAGGAGAAACGGGGGAATCCAGCTAAACGGAATGCCAGTTACGCGGCCGCGCCTTCCACATGGAGTCGGCCGCAAAGCACGCACCTGCTGCCCCGGTCATCCACATGGTCGGCGCTTTCCCGATTTTCCAGTGGCGGTTTCCGCGTTTGGATCGCCATGGCAGCTGCGACCGGAACCGCCATCATGCTGGCTTTCCAACGGCCTTTCCTTCTTCACCTTGCTCCTTCTCCCGATATCGAGCGTGTGCCCCTTTTTCTCCTCTTACCATGCGCCCTTGCATTCGTCGCTTTCGTCAGTCAGGTGTGTTTACTTTCATCTGCCTCCACGACAACGCGCGAGGGCGGTGGTGAACCAGAAGTAAGAGCTCAGGTCACAGAGCCATCCGGCATCACGAATCAGCGACTCACCAGTTGCCAAGACCAGTCTCACGAGTCTCTCAGAACCGGTCGAGACATCGACAAAATCCCGCAGCCTGACGACAGCGTCACGAGCAAACTGTGGCCAGACACGGACAACGACCGCTCGAGCGACATCTGGTCTGAATACCACGACATCCTCGAAGACTCTCGCGCCATCTGGCCCGAGTCCAAGTCAAAGGGAGAAATGAACCACAGGTCAGAGCACTCTCAAGCCCGAGCCCCTTGGCCGTACGTACCCCCCGTCTCACATAACCCAAGTCCCACTTTCATAGTCCACCAAATCTCCTTGCCATGCTAACAGCCAGAAGGGACCGCCATAGACGTCGGAGACGGAGAGGTCCAGGGCCTTCTGAATCTGTATGTCAGGCTCCTGGTTATGGTACATCTCCCGCTTGCCACGACGATAACCATCGCCTCCCTCTTGATGGCGCTTCCAATCGGGCGGAGACTGGGCAAACGACCTGTAAATGTCGTGCATATCGACCAAAGACAGGAAACCGGTTTCGCCAGCAGGGCACTGTGCATGTCAGTGAGCGTGGCCGTGCACGTGGTGGTGGTCGTGGGCGTGGTCGAGGTCGTGGTTCTGGATTTCTTCATCCACGAATTGGGGGAGAGCCGCCTCTGGCGGGGATAAACCGTCGTCCAGACTCGCAGACAGAAGAAGCCGCAGCGGTGAACAAGACAGCCGCAAGGGCACATCGTACAGCCAGAGCTGGCAACGGCATGTCGACAACGTCGACCGCGTCGCAAACTGCCGCTACCCTTGGCACAACCGTTGGCACAGCCGTTTTGGTGTGTCCATCAAGAATCTCTGCGTCTCCGTCAGGTCAGTTGAATGACTTCTCGTCAACCGAAATAATAACGGCGTCCGCTGCGTCCAAGCCGGTGACAACAACAGGCGTTGGCCGAAATGCCATCGAGGACGGTGTGGCAAAACCTGGGAGCGCTGCCATGCCTGGGGTCGTGCGCGGTGTCACACCTGTCACAGTGTCTGCCACAAACGCTGCGGCTAACTGGGGCAAAAGCAACGCTGTTGCAGCTGCAAATACACCAAGCGACCTGACTGGAACGACCAACGAGCAAAACCGTCGTGCCCGCCGCGCACAACGAGCCGCTCTGATTTTTCAAGAGCAATGCCAGATTCTCCAAGCCGAAGACGCGGTACGCGAGCAGCGTGACTGCGCTGTCGGGAAAGTAGAAACTTCGACTGCGACTTTTACTTCTTCTTCGGCATGTTTGTTTGATGCGGGCAAAGACCAGCCATCGTCAACCATGACTAATGTGGCGGTGGCTTTTCAATCGTCGTCCACCAGCGCCGTGCATTGTACGAAATTTCCAGAGGTGGTGAACTCTATTCACGCTAACCCCACCCAAAACGCTACCACCAATGCAGGACCACAACCGCCAGTCCACGCTATCACAAAATCCATGCAAGGTTTAGCTTTTATCAACAAAATCTCGAAACCTCACATTGCAAGCAATCGTACCAGCATTCAACCAGCACTGCCACTTGTTCCCACTCTCAACCAAAACGTCAACAGCGGACAGCCACAGTCGCCCTGCGGCTCGATCAAAGCATCCGCTGTTGCTGCCACAATGGCGAGTACCAAAGTGAGCAACAACCTGGCCGGTAGCGACGCCGAGGATAGCAACGATTCCGATGAAGATGGAAGCTTCGTCATGACGAGAACGGCTGGCAAACGCCGTCTCAATATCAGTGCTGCCGACATGATTGCCAACGAAATTTTGGACGACGTCAACGAAGAGCTTGTCGTGGAGGACGACGAAGTGACTGACCCTATCAAAAAACTGCATCGGGGCTACATGAATGAGGCCGTTGCCATGGTACGTTTTTTTTTTTTCGCTTCCTTACTATTGTCACCCTCTCCCTCTCACTCTCCTACCGTTCTACTGTGGTATAGCATGAGAATTCCGCTATTACCCTTTGATATACGTCCGCTTTTCGTTCCCCAGTGTAGTGTTTCGTTCGCCTTTGCCTCCACCGCTTCTGGGTGATTGCTCATGTATTTTTAGGCCCCATCGGGACGACGATGCAACTTCTTTTTGCTAACATTGGAAAATAGGCTCAATTGGCTCTCCGCACAAATGAGACGCCCGTTGGCTGTGTGCTTGTGCACAACGGCCGAGTCATTGCTCGGGGTATGAATGCGACCAACATGACCCGAAATGGAACTCGTCATGCCGAGTTGATGTGCATCAACGCGCTGCTCTCATACTGGGACGACGTCAATAAGGCCGACGAAACTTCCTCCAATTCTGAAAACAACGGAGACGACTATTCAGACTGTGGGAGTGCCGAGGACTACGACGACGACAAGAAGGAGTACACAGACGAGGACTGGAAAAAGGTCGACCCTAGCAAAGGTCACCTATTCCCCTACGGCCAAAAGCTCCATCCTGCGCGGATTGTGAGCCAAGACATCATCCATGAATGTTCGCTGTACGTCACAGTTGAGCCGTGCATCATGTGCGCGTCGATGCTGCGGCAGTACGGCATCAAGAAAGTCTACTTTGGGGCGGCGAACGACAAGTTTGGCGGCACCGGCGGCGTACTACGCATTCACATGAACTCGAAGCCTCATGAGCCGATTCAGCAGAATGTGTCGTACATAGAGACATATGTTACGAACATGATGTCTCGGCCGAAGCGTGCCAGCCGACCATCTCGAACGCTTGCTGTCAACACGGAAGAGGTGATTGCGGCCACTGAAGGTCCGATGACCGACGGTGCCTGCACACCCTCGCCCACGGACTCTGCCGAGTCTCAAGAGGATGGTGGAGTAGCAACCGCAAAGATGACCACGACCGTCACGAGAGCAGTGGTGACAACTGATAACACAAACAACCCACCGGTCATACGGCACACATCAACCATTCCAATTGCCGAAGGAGCAGTCCCTGCTAGAGACGAGGGGCACGGTGGGAATGTTGAACCAGGATTCGACGTCGAGGGCGGCTGGGGCCGCGACAAGGCTGTATTCCTTCTCCGCCAATTTTACGTACAGGAAAATGGCCGGGCGCCGGCGCCCAGAAAGAAGGAGGGTCGAGCCCAACGTCTCGTGGAACAAATGAAAAGCGAGACCGAAAGCACTGTCAAGCTCCCTCCCAAAGTCGACGGACTGCTTTCGGAGGTCATATCTGAGCAGCGGTCGCTTCCAGTCACGCCACTCGCTGTGGGTGGGCCCAGTGATCCGGCCCTTTTGCAAGTTGATTCCGTCATGGACATGCCAGTCAGTGGTATTACGAACTGCGCTTTAAACGCCGATTCAGACGGTGCCATCAAGATCTCTGACGATTAGAACTCGATCAGAGGCAATGTTCCAGACATGACACCACCTACCGCGTCCAACATGGGGAATCCATCGCTGCGACCACCCGGAAGCAACGCAATGTCCAGCGTTCTGAACAACATGCAAAAGCTCAACATCAAGGAAAACTACAATGTGGGTGGCGTTGGCACCAACGTTCAAAACGAGCCCTCGCACAACGCCAATGTCAAGGCCGTTGGGGGCAAGAAAGTTGGTTTCCAGATTCCGCCCGTCCAACAAGTCGGTCCTCTCAAGCCTGTCACGAACCGCCACAAGTAGTGTTCAAGAGACGGCGCTTCTCATCCTCTTCCTGGTTTGGGGAGTACATCAACATGAACTCGGACGGGGAGAGAATTGGTCCATTGATCAATGAGGACTACGCCTGCTTTATTTTGGTATCTTGGACGAACGGCGGCTTCATGCAGTATTCAAGCAAACAAAATATTGTTTGGGAGGGGCAACAGTCCACAGGGAAGGGACAACACTATGCTAAAACCACTCGGCGCTGCAATTGCCTTCCACGGTATACGAGCCTCGTGTCTTTATTTCCATCGCAGTTTTGGTGTTTGTTTTGTCGCGATAGTGGAGTGTGTGGCTTTTCCTTGCAGAACGGCAGGACTTTATTTGAAAGCATGAAAAGGGCGCATGTATTTATATCCTAAAAAGCCGGCAAAGGGGACAAGCCAGCCGCGAGAGTGGCGGGGACACGAAGACAGGAAGACTCATGGAAGCAATTCCTCATCCTAAGAGCCTTTTATGTTCCTTATCCATAAATGGCGGCGGTACGGTCGAACTAAGCTCAGTCACAAATAACATATCACAACACCGTTCTTTGATCTCCTCTATTTGCAACAAACGAACTATGATTTCAGCATGATTTCTTCATCCCTTCCTCCAGACTGTCCATCAAACTCGCCCCTCGAACTGCAGTCTGGCCGTGCCGATTCCGTGCGGCCTCTTCCACAAAGCTCACACGGGTGGTGCACCAATCCAAAAGATCTTCGATGCGAGACCCGCGATTGGTGCTGCCGTCTGTTTTGGGCCGAAGAAGTCCCACGCTGATGTCAATAAGGTCGGGCCGCCAAATGTCGTGCCAGAAGACCGTCGCGCCACAGCGATTGCAAAAGTTGCGCTCCACGCCGGGCTTGGACTGGTAGGCAGCAAGTGCAGGAGGCGTGTTTCCTTTTCCTTTGTTGTTGTCGTTTCCAAACGCCAGGACATTCCCATCAGGCTGCAGAACAATGCACACCCGCGGCACAAACGCCCACGTCTGGATCTCAAACCCCGTCGCCAACCGACACGATCGGCACGCACAGGTCCCAGCCAGCCAACGGCTAGTCTGCGAGGGATCGTCCTTGGCCGGCCGCAGCCACCATTTTACGTCGCCCGGATTGGCCGTGATGGCAGGGTCGGTCGCGGCAAACGGCACGAGCAGGTCAGCAATGCCCGAGTGCGGTTGACGACTGGCGGCAGGGTCCATGTCGGGCGGGCGGACGTCGAACTGGACGGCGCCACAGTGGCAGGCGGCCGAGACGGTGCGGGTGGATGGGTCGACGTTGTGCTCGGGGCCGTCTGCGACAGGGCGCGTTGCACCAGGGTATCCCCCCATGGGCTTGCCGCCTACTGTCGGCAACCATTTGGCCAGCCCTCCGTCGTGCGTGTCGTCCACATGGTCGTGGCGGACGTACTCGAGGACGGGGTGGTTGTCGCCGTCGCTGGCGGCAGCATGGTTGCTCCACTCGTTGGCAATGACGCCCGTGGCCACCTCCCAACCTGTGTTGGCATCGTCTGCTGTCGTCGTCGTCTTCTGTCGACTCCGGAAGATGTGGCAGCCGCACGTACTGCAAAAGTAGCGTTTTGTGCCCGGCGATGAGGTGTACGCAGTCAGCAAGGCAGTCTGCATTTTTTCGAGTGGTGCCTCAATGGGACAATAGGACGTGCAGAGGACGCCGCTCGTTTGGCGACAGATACTGCAGTGGCAGAGGGTAATGGGAATTGGGTTCGGTGTGTTTTGGGAACCGTCTGCGTTGGGCGAGCGTGCGATCAGTGTTTCCGTGATAGCGCCGCAGAGACATGAGATATCGAGTTGGATTGTCATTGTCTCTTTCTTCCTGTTGTTGTCTTTTTTGCATTTGTTTCTTTGTTTTTTCGTTGGGTTCTTTTGAAGTGATTGTCTTTTTTTTTGTCTTTTTTTTGTCTCCTTGATTTTTTTTTCTCGAAAGTGTTTTATTTTATATCATGTCGTTGTCTTGTCGACGATTTATATTTGGTTTTAGCTTGCATTAAAGCAATGGATTTAATTCAAATGCCATGAGACCTCATCCATAGAACGTAATATGCATGCCAAGATGTGCACATAATACACCCCGGATGTCTTTATTGGTAAAATGTAAAATGCTTCGTAGAGGAGGGTAGTAAAGCAACTTGCAGATCCGAGGTTTAAGCGAGAACCAACACTGTTGATGCGGGGAGTTTTGTGTGGTAGCAGTCTTCGACGTTGTCTACCACCCTGCGTCGTTTGCCTGCCTGGTCTGTCTTGTCACTGGCCGATTGGCATCTGGGGGCGAGAGCTTGAAGCTTAGCTCCCCGCTACTGGCGTCACAAAAAGCTGCCCCTCAGCCTCGCCAAACAAAAGCTGTCCTTTCACTATCACAACCACGCATACGCACAGACACAAGACAATATGGATCCAGAACCAATACCAGTACCAGCACCAGCACTGGAACACACGCTCGAGACGGCTCCGACCACATCTCAACCACGGCCGCGGCCGGATCGCTCGTCCGAGCAAGCACGGCGCGTCCGCACCAAAAACCGGCGGCTCGAGTTTCTACGAAGGCACCCTGAATACTTGGCCTCGAGCGACCGCGAGTTTGCCAATGTGGCGCTCTACAATACGCTGGTGCGATCGTTCCAGACGCCGGCCGAGCGTGCCGCCGAGGCACAGGACTCGGGGTTCGGGCATGTTCTGGAGGCGTCGATGCTCCGGAATCCGGAGCCGCTGCACCGAGTGGACGACGATGAGGTGGAGGAGGAGGAGGATGACGACGACGTCGCGGCGCCGGCCGCAGAGGCTCAGCATGAGAAGGACGACGCCATCGACGAGCTCAACACCCTCCACCCCGACTTTGACCCAGATCCGTCCCTCGACGTAGCCCCCCGCGACGCCGCCCTGCGGCGGTGGCACACGTTTGTGCGCAACTGGTTCGTGGACGGCGGCGCGGCCCTCGACGACGGCTTTGACTATGCGGCCGTGGACGACGACAGCGAGTACGACGCGCTGGCACGCGCCGACGCGGAAGCTGCGTGGTTTGACGAGGAGTCGCCGGGCTGGGCGAGCGACGAAGAGGGAGACGGAAAGAAAAAGGAGAAGACGGGCGAGACGGGCATCCAGGACTTTTAAACGTACGGCGACCGAACGGAGTATGTCCCTCAAGGACAAAAAGCATTTTGAACGATACTATCGAATGATACCCAGACATAAGAATTCGGAACAAGGTTGAAGGGGGAAAAGTTTAAGTTTGTGGACAAGAGAAAATTGCAGAACATGAAGACACGAGCTCCGGTGGACCGTCCCATCTATCGTATCCTGCCACCCCCTGCATTTTTCAGAATGGCTTCTGCAGCCCCCAGTTCCTGGCCCAAAACGGGCGGTCAGTTAATTTCGCAGCGTCGCGTTCGTCTTTTGGTGGAGTGAGCCTTGGATGTAATACGGAATGGCAGACCCTTGCAGTTCTCAGGGACTTTGGCATCCTTTGATCTTCGTCTCCCTTTGTTAAACGTACTTTTATCCTTTATCCTTTTCCCTCTTGGTCTTGGCACAGCCCTGTGGGTTCGCCATTGGGGCCCTGTAATTTGTTTCGTTTTCATCCAATCCTGAGTTCCTTGTCCGTTATCTTCCCGTCTATCTTCAAGGCACCTTCTCGCCAGTCTCAGCGGATGAGCTACGACGCAGACCGCCCTGCGGTTGCGCGGACTGAGACCTTTTCAAACCGGCTGCAAAGGAACGGAAGCATTTCAACCCCTAGCCGGTTAAAGGACCAAGTGGACCACGAGCAACACGAATCCTTCCAGGGTTTGGCTGGATCAACTCGAAAGGATCGTGAGTCGACCGCAGCCTCTGAATGATAGTCATGGCACACTGTTCATATGTAGTAGGATCTTACGTTGCACTGGCTCTCTGTCCATCATCTGACAAGCCGCACCGTTAACAACGGTTGAACATCGGGTGTTTCCTCGCGTCGTGGACCGGCTTGACCAATATGGCAGCATGCGTGTCTCCTTTTGTATTGGGTGAGTGTATCGTGCGCTGGCAGGCTCACAGTCTTTTGAGTGCAAGCTGTCGATCATCGCCCAATGGAGGCCACTACGACTCGATCCTAGCTACAAGGGATCCACATTCACTGGACTCCTGAATTCACAGTGTCGCCAGCGCTTGGCCCGCGTTAAACAGCCAGTTCGTTCCAGTGTGTGCCCTCCGGTTCATTACGTCGTCAGTGGCGTTATGTGGCGCCGTTCACGTCCCAAACGCGCTGTACGAAGTAATTACAGAACACTCGCTGCCATTCCAGCGCCACACCCCGCTATGAACCGCATGCCACGAGACAAGCGAACCAAGCTGGCCCCTTTACGACTGCAATTAATTTAGCTCTCGAATGCGACTGTCAGTGGACGATCCGACTTTCCGTTTCTTGGCCTTTTGCCCTTTTAATCCTTTTCGATTCTTCACCACCAAGCGCGGCAAGCACGCGCCAAGCTGTAGTGACCGCGCTTGCCCCTTTTCCTGCCCTGTTTCCCGGCTTCCCTATTTCCTTCCGAGCCGAGCCAGCGTATTTCCTCTCACATGCCCTGGAAAGCCATCAACAAAGGCTGCAGGATCTGACAGCAAACTTCAGGAGCAGCGCCACCGGCCAGGCCAGGAACCTCCACCAGGAGACGCGACCATACGACATACGGAGTCATTACGACGTACGTAATTAATTCTCTTCTGCTTCGGACGGCTTGGCTAAGAACCCGAAGAAAACCGCCCCCAAGAAAGCCAAACGCCAGTGTCTGCCCGCCTTTTCGCCTGTTCAACTTTGCACACCCCTGTCAAACCTGCTTTTTCTTCGATGTTTGCCAACCTTGGACAACATATCGTCTTATTACAGCGTATTATTACGACGTAGTGTTTTCTGTTCCTTGCTGCACTACCCTCCCGCCATCTCTTGTATTCTTTTGTTCCTGTGGGCGGTATCACCAAAGGCGGCCTCAACGACGTCTCTCTGCACGTTTACTCTATCCAGTTGTTCAGAGTCTTCTGCCACCTCTCCTACTTCATACACTTTTCCTGTCACTCGCGCCTGACTCGTACGCGGCCCGACGCCAGATAGCGCCTCTTCCGCCCGACGGCCTCCCAGCACTACAAAGACACAAGCTAAGCGAAAGTCCGCGTCGTCTTCTAATTACCAAAGCCCAGTCGACCCTCGACCTCTGCATCGGTTTCCTCGACCAATTCCTCCCCTCTCACGTCTTCATAGTCGCCAACATCAGACGCCGACCGACCGACCGACCGACCGACAACTTGACCAAGCCAACAACTGGCGGCTACTCCCTTTCTGTCACACGGTCGACATCTGCCCAAAATTCTGCGAATCACGACATAAGCCACCGCAACCATGGCCGAGGGCTCGTACGGCAGCCCCTTTTACCAGGGCAACATAGCGCCAGTGTGAGTACCACTGTTCTACTGCGATCAGCATACCTGTTGCTTTATTTCCCCAGACGTACTGACTGCTTGCAGAGAAAATACGTCCTCCACAGCCAAGTTTGCGACCAACGTGAACCGCAAAAAGACGCGCAAATGGGTCGAGGCAAAGAAGGTCAACTATGACGGCAGTGGTTGGGGCGACGAGGACGATGAGGATGAGGATGACGGCTATGGCGACGAGCCCATGCCCCCCATGCCAGCCAACGCGGCCCCGACACCCCTGCCGTCCCAGTCGTCCCTTGCACCCAGCGGCGTCACCGTCGGCGGCGCCCACCCGACCGCCGCCTTGCGCGCACGAAACAGCCCGTCGCCCATGGGCCGCGTCCCGATGAACGTGCAGCAACAGGCACAGCAGTCGATACAGCATAACCCGCAACAGCCACAGCAGGCACAGCAGGCACAGCAGGCACAGCAGGCACAGCAGGCACAGCAGGCACAGCAGGCACAGCAGGCACAGCAGCAGCAGCAAGCACAATGGCGGCAAGTCTCGCCCGCGCCTGCGGCCGCTCGTGCGCCACCACAGCTGCGGACCTCGTCGCCGGGCACGGGTATCGGTGGTGTTGCACCGCCGCCACAATCGCAGTCACAATCGCAGTCACAGCCCGGGAATTACCCTCCCTTCCGTGACGGACGCTCGGAATTGCCCCTGGGCCCGCGTGGACAGTCGCCGGCAGTTGTGGTGCCTCGTCCGGGTACCGGCCCGGCAGGACCACGGACCATGTCGCCAGCCGGAGGCCCCAACGGCCCTCGTGGTAAATTTATCCGTCCCTCGGACATTTATAAGCGTGCCGACTCAATAGAGTCCATAGACAGGTAGGTACATACAGGGGACGTGTCGTCTTGGCAGGTTGTTTGCCAGCTCGGAACAGATCACATGCTCATGAGAACAGAGGACGGAAGGAACTGCCCACCGCGCCTGCCACGTCGGCCATAGTCAGCAACAACACGACTGCCCCCATCGGGCATCCCCAACCACAGACGGAGGCACCATCACAAGCACAACACAAACCGCAGGACTCGGTCGACTCCACCGCCTCCGCCGAAGACGCCGCCAACGACCGCCGCTACTCGACCAGCCCCAAACTGCCGGACCTCGCGCGGTTCTCCACCTTTTCACCCGATCTTTTGTTTGGCGGCAGCGGTGGTGGGTTCATGTCGTCCGACGCACCACCGCCCGTGCCTTCGATCCCCAACTCGCCAGCTGTCGGGGCGTTCCCAGAGTCGGTTACGGCCGCTGCCGGTGCCCCTGCTGTGTCCGCAACGCCCGCGAAGCACCTCTCGTCTGTGGCCGAAAACGTCGCGTCCACGTCGCGCGACGCCTCGCCCTTTTCCACGTCCTCGCGCGAGTCTGCCTCGGCCGCCCCTGTTCGTGATTCGGCCGCCACCGCCATCACGGCGTCCTCACTCGACGACACCCCGTCGACGACGACGGCTGGCGCCCGCGGGTCTGCCGACTCGACCCCGTCGTCGGTCGACGGCCCTGCCGCGGGAGCAGCAGCAGATAGGATGTCTGCAGCAACGGCAGAAAATCGCAAGTCGGCGGCCAACAGTGCCCAGGAAGCGACGACGCCACTCGCTACCGACAACAACACTGACAACGCAAGCACCGTTGCAAACACGGCCGCAGACCAACAAACGGCGCCCACGCCAGCCTACTCTAACGACCCCATGATTGCTATGACGGCACCCCTCAACCCACACCGCTTCAGCAGCATGGTCCCCTTTATGCCGCCGCCCGTCACCACGCCCAAGGGTCCTCGTGACATCCAGCGAAGCGAGACGGCAGAATCCACTCCCACCACCACCACGGCAGCCAACTCCCCGGTTAAAGAGAGCGATGTGCTTCGCGAGGAGATTATCCGCACGTTGAGCCCTGTTAAAGCGACACACTCGGACGAGTCGCTCGAGGGGACTGTCAAGGACTCAACTGCCAGCGCTGTTGAAGACAAAGAAGTGGGTGCCAGGTCTGCCGATGCACCCACATCCCAAAACCGGAGCGAACACACGCGCACGCTCACCCGCGAAAGCTCTTACTTGCAAGACGTGTACGACGACTATTGGACCCCGGACGACACCTCAGGCAACGACACCTACACCACCTCCGACCCGCCGCCGCCCATCCCGCCATTGGCCAGTGCTGGTGCTGGTGCTGTGTCGGGCCCGGGTGCTACGTCCGCTGCTGAGACTGGCGCCGACTCTGCCGCTGACTCTGTCGCCGACTCTGCTGCCAGCCACTCTGTCACACCTGCAGCTGTTGCTGCCACCGCCGCTGCCACTGCTGCTGTTGGCGCTGCTGCGTTGGCTGCGTCGGGCCACTCGTCCTCGTCTGCCTCCTTCTCTGCTGACGCCGCGACGCCACAACCTCAGCCGGCCGCGGCAGCCGAGTCGCAGCACACCCACCAACTACGATCCCAACAAGGCCTCGCTCCGTCGCCGTCGCCGAATCCCAGCGCCAGCGGCGTCCCGGGCGCCTTCCCTAGCAGCAACGTCCCGACTCCTGGCGCCGATCCTGCCCCGACCACCCAACCGGTCTCGGCTCAGGCTGCTGCTGCCGCCTTTTCGAATGCTCCCGGCCTGCGCCGTCGTTTCTCGTGGGAGGCCGAGCCCGAGCAGGCCGCCGAGAACGGCACCGGTGCCTTCACAGCCGTCCGTGCTTCTACCATGGCCACACCACCTTCGTCTACGCAGCCGCAGTCGCAGTCGCCTCCGCCTAGTCTTGACGCGATGCAAGTGAGCAGCCCCGTGTCAAACGTCCCGCCACCCAACGAGCTGCAGCCACAGCAACAGCACGACCGCACCATGTCGCCCCATGGTGACTCCAACACCGTTGTCTCGGCTGTCTCGACCTCGACAGTGGCGCCCGAGCTGACGGCGCCCTCGCCCGTGTCGGATGCTGCTGTGCCGGGTGCGCCGGCAACGACGAAGCCGACCGCAGCGGCAGAGGCGGCCGCCGACAGCAGCGAATATCCGGCACAAGACGCGGCCCGCCCGTCGAAGACCCAGGCACCCGTGCGATCCATGCTCGATGTTGGCGATGCTCCCGCGCTCACGCCGATCCGGTCCATGCTGGATGTCGGCGACGACCCGCTGCCCAAGCAGCTCGTCAACCGCATCTCCACGGCCGAGTCCATGCAGTCATCGACCTCGTTCCAGTCGCAGTCGCAGTCGCAGTCGCAGTCGCAGTCGCAGAACAACCTGCAGTCACAGACGTCGCCGACCGCCGCACCGTCCATCCACGTCTACCAGCCTGCCGCACCCGTTGTGTCTCCAACGTCTCCGGCCGCCCTTGGCTCCACCGGTAACAACCCGGCGCTCTTTGGGAGCGCTACCGGCAGCCCCAGCCAAACCCTCCGCCAGTGCATGGCCCTTGACTCTCATCATGACCGCATGGCCAAGCTGGCCGAGGCCCGCCACGAGTACGCCGTCGCCGATTCTGGTCTATCGTCCTGGCTGCAGTCCATGACCGCCGTCCCCGAGTATGCCCGTGCTGCCTATGCTCCACTCTTTGACAACCAGGTCGGTGGCGCCGGCCTCCCGCCCTCAGGCTCTGCCTCCCGCCCTGTCGCCGCCGTCGCCGCCACGATGTCACGCGTCCCGCACGTCCACGTCGCTGTGCCTTCCGGAACACAAATCTCCAACAAGAGCAAGGAGATTTTTAATGTCGCGACGGGCAAGGCCGGCAAAGGTCTGCTGGCCCTGCGCAAGAAGGGCTTCCACAAGAAGTCGGCCAATTAACATATTTGGTGCTTCGTTTTTTGCATACCTTGCTTCTGTTGTGGACGTTTGGCACTACATTTGATTATTTTCTTTTTTGCCTTTTCTTGCTTGGTCTGTCACATTCATGATTATCTGGGCTGGGGGACCAGTTTACGATACTGCATATTTTTTGGTCTTTGTATCTTTCCTTTTTTTCTGTTCTCTGTCTCTATTACCCCAATCCCTTAACTTAATAATCTTTGCTTCTCATCTTGGATAAGGAACTGATTTGCAACGTCACTCTACCGTCTCATAACCACTCTATGTCTAACGCGATGATGGGTATACATACGCGGACAACCCGTATTGTCACGACTCCCCGTTTTAGCCACAATGCAACCAACAAAGTACTATCCGCGTGACTTTGTGAGGTGGCACAACTCCGCTAAAGCTTGGACGTGCTGTTCTGGTGGTGCTGTTGCACAACCACAAGTTCTCTCCTATTGAGCAAACAAAACACTATTGTCGTACGTGGCCAAGGTGAGCAGGCACAATCACCAACACTGCCGTCATCAATAGATTTCGCAAATACGATATGTAGTCCAAGTCATTTCGTCAGACACGGAGTACAAGCACATCTGCAATGACCTCGAGTACTGATTGTGCCTGCCGTGCATACATTCGGTACTTGCACCAAAGCCTCGTACTTTGTCACTGCACTCTCGGTTCCTTGCATTCAATTGGCGGGCTCCACCGGATAGTACTAGGGAAAAATGGGTACCTATCGCTTGTGCTGCTCCTCTTGCGTCCTGGTTGGTTCTCACTCACGAAAAAGCGGGGACATCCTCCTCTCTTCCCGCTTCTTTACCCACATTATTGGCGTGGGAGGGGCCCTCTGGGCCTGGCCTGTTCTCTTGTTCCTGCCCCTTCGCCCTGCCCTTCCGCCCTGTCACTATCATTGCACTGTGCCCGTCGCCCTTTCCTCATTGAAAGGGAACTGATGATCGGCAGGTGCTCACTGACACAGCCTTTCCAGGCCGTCCTTCTTTCTCACGTCTCTTGGACCACTGACGACAAGGCACACACCTCGTCATCTTGTGAGGCCCTCTCAAGCTTCTTCTCTTTTGTTCTTTTTCTTCTTTTCTCTTCCATTCCTCTGTCTGCCCACAATTTCCGCCTCGCAGAGCAGCAACACTTTTCTCTCGGTAACTCGACCGAACATCGGCATTTGTCGTGGCAACGTCACCGACTTGCGGCAATTTCATCAACGTCTCGACACGGCCAGGCCTACCACTTTGTCGACGAGACCATCATACCCTCAGACACTCGGCTTGACTTCTCTACACATTCGTGCCAACAGTGGCTCCTTCTACTTCTTCTCCGGACGCCTGAAGAGGCTATCCGCCTCGGCTCTACCACGTCCCTACCTTCGCCGTGCCTCCAGGCTCTAAATGGCCACCTCCTCGCTGGCCCTGGCACGTGCCGGCCTTATCGACCCGACCAAGCCCGCGACCTACCCCGTCATTCTAGGCGAGGACATCCGGCGAAGCGGTGACCCCAACAGCCCGTCCGCCGGCCACACGTTTACGGGCATCCGCTACAACTTCAAACCGAAACACCTGACCGACAACACGCAACGAAAGTCCACCCTTACCCACAGCGACAACGATGGCGAGTTCGATGTCACCTTTAGCGACAACAGCGGCGGCCGCTACGTCTACGCGGGCACCCGCGTGTCCAAGGGCAGCAAGTATGTCCTCATCTTTGACTCCAAGAGGCGGCGCTTCATCCTCCACCGCCTCGACTCTCTGTTCATCATGAACATGGTCGACACGCCTACCAATCACGACACAGCCGGCCTCAAGAAGAAACACCCCTACATCAATGAGACGACCAAGCGGCCACGACCGCCACGGGGTGCCGGCGGCCAGTTCCTACGGCGGCCAGGACTCACAAAGAAGAGCGGCGGCACCAACAGCAGCGCAAGCCCGATGCGGCCCATGCCCAAGCCTCTTGTTCGGCTGCCCGCGAAGCCGCCCACGGTGCTGCGCAGCTCGCAGGACATTAAGAAAAAGGAGCGGCGGGTGACTCTCAATGTGCCGTCCGACAGGGACGGTCACGACTCGGACCGCGAGACCAAGGCGGCCAAAGACGTGCGCGAGCAGCGGGAGGCCATTGTGGTCAAGACGGCACGAGACAATCAGGAGAACAAAGAAGCAGCAGCACGCGATCGCTCAGGAAGCAACAGCAGCAATGGCAGCAGTAGCGGCGGCGGCGGCGGCGGTGGTGGTGGCAGCGGTAGTGGCACGATTACTGTCTCGCCACGCGAGGCGGCATACCAGAAAAGCAAGGCCAGCGCGTTGTCGTCCCGGCCCAAGGAAGGCAGCAAGCTCTCCATGGAGACCAAACCTTCGCCAGACACCAAGAACAACAAGGACAAGGGAGACTTCAAGTCACGGTCCATTGACGTCAAGAACGGCAGGGACAAGGACGACAGCAAGCTCCGAGTACCCGAAAAATCCGATAAGGGAGCACGCGCCGAACAGTCCGTCTCGCCCGAAAAGCCGCGTCTGCCCGAGAAGCCCGCCGCACGCAAAGACGACAAGACTCGCAAGGACACCAAGGCGGCCAAGGCTGTGCCGTTGCGCGACGGCAAAGATGGACGCAGCACACCCACAAAGGAGGGCAAGTCGATCACGGCGAAGCCTCTGGCCAAGTCCAGCAGCGACAGCCCGAGCAGCAAGGCCAAGGGCGGCGCCAGGGGTGCATCTCTGCCCATGCCTAAGGAACCGGCACCGGCCCCTGCTCCCACCAAGAAGAAGCGTCGCGACTGGGAGGAGGACGAAGACGACGATGACGACGACGATGGCGACATTGGCCTGGTGATTGAGTACCCTGGCGGGCCGCCACCTGCACGGAACCGGGCGTCCCTTGGAGGTGTAGGCTCCGGTGCGGGTGACAGTGCGCGCGATGCGTCCAAGCCACAACTGCACATGCCTACCTTTGACGAGTTTCAACGTGCCGGCAACGAGGACGAGGAGGACGGCGACATGGACGGGTACTGGGACCCGCGCGAGGACGAGAAAAAGGCTACCAGAGATGCCGAAGCGGCATCCAAGTCCTCGGCATCCGCCCCTGCTCCGACTCCAGCCAAGTCTACACCCGCCAAGGCTACGTCCAAGTCTGCACCCAAATCCGCGGCCATTGCCGTTGACGACGATGACGATGACGGTGACGACCTGGAGGCCGAGCTGGAGGATGAACTCGAGGCCGAGCTCAACAAGGAGCTGCAGGAGGAAGAGGCCCGCAAGCGGCGCGAGGCTGAGCTTGAGGCCGAACTGGAGGCCGAGTTTATGGCCCAGGACAGTGAAAGCGAGATCAGCGAGGAGGAGTGAGCGAGTGACATGCGGACATCACGGCTCGGCAGTTCTTCTTTGTTGTCTTTTTCTTTTTTTCTTCTTTTTACTTTTACAGTTTCTACAAGCATGGTTTTCTGCGCGTTATGGAACGCATCCAACGATACAGAAAACGTTGCAGCCTGGCATGGCCATGGACAGGCACAACACTACCGGACAGCGAGTCCTTGTGACGAGGAGTGTTTTCATTTGCTTTATTGGTGTTCTTTTATGTTATTTTCTGCGCTGTCTTTTTGTTTCGGGTTGCCTTTTGATGATTGCATACTGGGCACATTCATGACGATAATGATAGATACACAGCCCCCATCGAAATCCCAAATTTCCATGTTTTCAAATGATATGAAAAGAATAAGAGGCGACATGCATCTCACATGCCACATACGAGATGCGTACATTTGCCTACAGTTGAAAACAGCTCTTTTATAATTTCTCACGTCTTTCTGGATGACGCATACTTTCCGTCAGGAAAGAAATCAGTTTGATTTTGTCTTTTGTCGTTGTTATCACCTCACGTGGCACAGACCGCTCGTTGGTCTGGGGCAACTTTCTGTTATGGCCAATTCCTCTAATTACTGTGACGCTGTGCGAGTCCTTTTGTATGACCTCCTGGTGAATAAGACACCGACACAGAATCATCGAAACCAAACAGCCAACCACTGCGATTCAAATCCCCCAATGTCTTCGGCAACATTGTGCCATATCTTGCGTAATGCACGTGCAGAGGCGAGTGGCATCGATTCTGCAACCGTAGCCCAGTTGCAGACAACGCTGTCATTGTTGCGAGTCTGAATGCGACCGTTGCGACAAGACGCAGCATATGTTGTAGCACGCCTCAGACGGTGTGTGAACAGCTGTCGAAATCATTGGCTCGATGGCTCGCTGCTGCGAGTAAATAGTGGGGCGTGTTACCCAACCCTCCTCCGGAAGCAGCCTTCTTTTGCTTGTGTCGTCCGGTTCCAGTGGCCTCTTTGGCCGCTTTCCGTTCCAGTGGGTAGCAAAAGAGCGACTTGGGGTGGTCTTACTGGGTCGCACATTCCTCTCAGGCGGCCCAAGACCGACCTTCCATTTCGTTTCCCTTTCGGTACGCCGCGACGACGGAAAGTGCGTCCCACAGAATACTTGGCTTTGGGAAGGAACAGACGACGAATTCGATTTCAGTTGGGAAGGCGGTTGAGTTGTCCACCGCTCGTTGAACCGACGCCAGCCTTCCTTCCCAATCTGGGGCAAAATTAAATGCAATCGCCATTGGGGCGGCTGCATCTGTAATCTCGTCCCGACCGTCTCATCTTCTCTCTCCTTCTCCGCGTCTCTTCTCCCCCCAACATCAACTTATGGCCGACTTCATCACCAACTGCATCAGCATCCACCCATCGTATATGTTGTACATCGTCTTCTCCACCTCCCGCCTCACCTCGACAGCATCTCTTTACTCAGTACTTGTCCTTCTTATCCCCATCCCTAGCATCGTCCTAGCGCAGCTCCTTCGAGGCTTTTCGACTCTTTTCGAACCCACATGCAGTCAGTCCACTCCTACGGGCGTCCAAAACCCACAAAAATATCAGCCCTGGTAGACCTGCGGCAAGCTGTGGCATAAGCAGCTGGCATTTGGAAACCGTTTAGACTGTTTTACCATGCTCTAGCAATCCTATCTCAATTAGGAGGCGTTGTCTCTTGGCTGGAACCTTTTCATCTGCGCCCGAAGGCATTATTGTGCACGTCAGAACGCTGAGACTTTTGTCTCCCATTTCGCCTATCTGTTGTCTCTGGTCTCGTGCGGAAACAGCTTCTCCAATATCCCTTTGTCACGTCCTCTCGCCTCTCGTTCGCCAGCGACCCCTGCCTTTGTCTACGGCTCGTCGTTTCTCCGCGCCTATCTCCGGTGCACTCGAACATTTTTGTTTTGTTCGCCAATTTTGCTTTAGTTGTCGTCAGCACTCTCGTCTAGCAATCACCGCCAATATCCTGCCGCTGCTCCGTGCTGCCCCTACCTCTTTGCGACAGACCGTCTGCGCACCTGCGGCACGCTCCTCTTATCTCCTGACTTTTGGCTCTCATTTTGTTACCGGATTTTTGTCTCTATCTTCTCCCCGTCCCCTGTCGGTCTTCTTGTGCCATCTGTGTCCTCCATCCCTCTCTTCAATCTCACTCCCGCACTAGTTTTAGCCGCATTTTCTTGCATCTTGGGCCCCGGCTATTTTACTTGACGTTGCCACCAGCGAATAGGAGCTGGAAACGCCTTTCGCAAAAGGCGCACTTTGTTCTCATTGCTCCCCAGCCTGCAGACGTGTTCGACCTCGTCTGCAACATCTACACTACGCAGTATACGAAGTACTTCGCACTACAAAACAACGGGGCCCAAAATAAGGAAGCATCTGCAACTCTGCAGGGCTTGGACATTGACACAAGCTTTTTGTTCCCAGCTTGTCCCCGGCTAACCTTCCTCGCATCTCATTCCTGGTCCTTTCTTGGCTTGGATCGTCCTCGGTTGGTTCGTGTTCTCCAACTCACAAGTCCAGACCCTGTCTTTTCTCCCCATTTGTCTGTCTGTGTGCTTGTGCGCGTCCATCTCCTCCAACGGTCGAAACCCTTCGCCTGGGCTCGGGCTCGGTGTCGCTTTTTCCGGCGCATTGGACCAGTAACGCCAGACGCCCCCTCCCCTGGTCGCCTTTAGTTAGAGGTTTCTGTCTTTCTCCGAACCTCACATCCGGCTCATCCGCGAGTCGTTCGCCATCTTCTACGCGACATTTCACATCACTCTAATATCGCCCTCGCGCTCTCTCGCGCTCTCGTCTCTCCAATGCGTGTCTGGGTGTGAGTGGGCTGCTGCTGCTTTTCTTTTACCGCGTTCTGTGCCTCTCACCTTACCCTCGCCGGCACTGTTCTTTGGGTCGTTTGGAATCCCGTCCAGGAATCCGTCACATGGTCGACACCACGCAAGCCCTCAACCGAGTCTTGCCACACGTGTAAGGAGCGAAAATAAGCACTCACTCGCCCTCGTCTGTGGGAGCCACAATCCCCGAGCAGGAGCCGGGCCTTGCGGTTTTACGAAACAGACGCCGTATACCTGCTCTACGAAGTACAACGAAGTATACTCTCAGAGACTCGGACTTGAACGGGAACTGGGCCTGACCAGGAACTGCACCATTCAGCCCACGTTCCGTGTTCCGTGTTCCTTGTTCCTGGATCTGGTTCTGTCCGAGACCTATTTGACAATGACATCCCTCAGTAAGCTTTCTCTATCGTCTTTCAAGACATGTTTCTGATTTTTTTTTTTCTGTTTTCCATCCTTTTTACACCTCTTTCTTCTTGTCGCCCCCCCCCCCCCCCAAAACCAACATTCTTTAATATACAGGACCAGAGACACCAAGTACTGTTCTGTTCTTACTCCTCCCCCTGCTCCAACCATCGTCACTTTCATTTTCTGTATTCTCTTTCGGTGTCTCTCTCGTCCTTTATCTTTTTCCTCTGTCCGTCACCTTCCCCACCATTCGATAGTATCACAGCCATTCAAGCCAACACAATTCACTCTTCTCGCCCTCTATCGTCTTTGACTCATCCTCTCCTACCCTCTTTCCTCACCCTACCTCTCTCGTCTCCTCTTTCCCGCTTCTCCTCCAAATCTCCTAGGTCAACCCCTCACGGTCCGATTGGAGCCCCAAGATACGCCACAAGTCTTCGTTTTGCATGCATTAGGAGAAATAATCTGGGGTAGACAAGGGTGGGGGAAACGATCCTTGTGGGCAGTGGCCAAGGATATTGGTCTCCGGTCACAAATTTATAAATCAGTTGGAGTATCGTGTGTCGTCTCCATATATTGTATTCGATTGGGGCTAGAGAGGGACAGGAGACAGACAAGGCCGCGGAGAACAAGTAGCAGAGCCCACAGGCCACTGCCATTGCTGCCTTTGTTCACCGTCTATATCATCACACGCTGCCTTATCCCCTCATTGCAGATGTCGTCTTCCTCTCAATCACCTGCACCTCATTTCCTTTCTCGCACTTCCACATACACTTGCCATGGCGTCGTTTCCGTTCAAAATACCTTCTAGCGGCAAGGCTATTGCTGACCTCACTGTTCCAGTTCATAAATCGAGAAAGGTACGGCTCTCTTCTTATATCGGCCCGTCGCGGCATGCCAAGCTTCCTATATGTATATGTATTTTATATTTATATTTTCTTGGCACGTTGAACTAACATGGCTCCCTTTTGTAGCCAAAATTTGAGCTTCATCTCAAGGTAAGATAGATTGTTCCAAGTACACTCTCACCACTATCTCGGCCATGAACTGACACCCATGTAGATTTATGATCTCAACAAGGTTCCATTAGCGTCGGGCGTGTCCGCCGTAAAATGGTTTTTTCCGCACAGCATACACGGTGAACACCGTGGCCGCACACACAAGCGGCCCATTGCAAATCACCGTGTGGAGTACGACTACTCGAAGATCATCCCGTTGCGTCTGGTGGTTGACCGCAACAACCGGCTCTCTGACTACCCAATCGAGTTTGAGATCACCCAAGAGTTTGAAAGCCATGGCGCTGGTCGCGATGAGAAGATTGTTCTGGGTAAGATCTCCCTCAACCTCGCCGAATACGTAGCCGAGAGCGAAGCCCTTCAGCGTGACATCCGGCCAACGACGTCCGACTCGTACGGCTCACGCGACTTGCCGGGCGGTGCGTCCAGCAGCTGGCACACGCGCCACCGGAGCTCCACGAGCAAGGCTAGCACCTTGGCCACTAGTGTTGGCACCATCGACTCGACCGCGTCCGGCCCCGGCGGCGCTCCTTCCTCGACGGCAGGCTCCTCGGTCGCGTCTCTCACGGCATCCGTCAACTCGGCTGTCGAGGACGGCGTCATTCGACGCTACCTGATGCAGGACAGCAAGATCAACAGCACCCTCAAGATTGGCATTCTTATGGTACAGCTCGACGGCGAGCACAACTACGTAGCGCCACCACTCAAGTCCGCGCCCGTTTTTGGCGGCATCACCGGCATCGTCGCCAATACGGAGCCGATAAACGCTGGCGATAGCAATATTGACGACCCAGAAGAATATGCCCGCGTTGGTGGTGTTGTCGGGGCTATGATGGCCGGCAGCTCGGCCGCCAAGGGTCACGAGACAGCGGAAATTCAAGATGTCTACTGTCGTGCTCTTGCAGCTTCGTGGGCGTGCCAGGCCGGTGAGATGCCGGCGGACGAGTGCATCGAGGACATTTTCAGTGGCGGCGACGGTTTCCGCTCATCAAACTCGGATTTTCACCACCTGGCTGAGCATGCGGCTGCCGCGCACGCGCTCTCGAATCAGCGTCACCACGATCACCACCACTACCATAGCGGCGGCGGCGGCAGCAAGCAGATAGCGCCCATGCCGACGGGTACCTCGCTGGGGGCCGTAAAAGCGCGGCAGGGCTGGTCGCCAACATCGCCAACACCCTCATCGATCCATGAAGAAGGCGACGAGGATGGCTTTGTGTCCTCCGCACCGAGCCGCACGAACTCAGGCGGCAAGAAGCACCAAAGTATTTTGCCAAGGCTGGGCCCCATGCGACGTAAGCCAACGCCCCAGCAAATGGGAGGCTCCCACTCGGGAGGTGGAAATGCAGGCTCTTCGCTGCGGAAAAGCCGCTTTGGAGACGGCGACACGAAAAGCAGCGGCGAAGACGGCAGCGGCAGCAACGGCAGCGGCAATACGAGCAGCAGCAACAACCACACCCACAACAACCGAGGGGACGCAGACGACGATGACGATGACAGTAACTTTGGCGGCCCGGGCAACAATGCCACCTTGCGGCCAAGCGACATTCGCAAGTTCCGCGACGGCGCCAGCCATCTCGGCGGACCGACCAGCGCTTCGTTCCCCGCTCTGGCTGGCAAGCACGGCCTACCGGGGCGTGAGCTCAGCGGCCTCAGCGACCGCACTGTCACGCCCCAGAACGACACGGACCTTCTAGCACACCATACGTCTGCCATGTCCATGGCCCTAGGCTCTCGGAGCAGCCGCAGCAGCCCGGGGCCGCAGTCTCCCACTGCATCGTCTTTCAACCTCAGCCACCGCCGCGACAACAGCTCTGAGAACCTTGCGTCGACCGGTGCCGCCGGCGCAGCGGCGTCCTCCCGTACTTCTGGTAGCAAGGGAAGCGGCCATGGGAGTCGACGCCCTACCAGTAGCCGGGTGCCGAGCAGCAGCAGTCGCAAGAGCAGCGGCCACGCCAGTGGTCACGGAAGCGGCAATGGGAGCGGCAGTGGCAATGCCAGTGGCAACGGCAGCGGCCACGACGAAGACGGTCCCCAAGGCCGTGAGTTGCACGAGTACGAAATCCGCGACGACTTTGTGGCGTGGCGGCTGCCGGGCTCTGTTGCCGCGTCGTCTTAGGACAGGCGATGAGCCTCGTATCGTGCTCGCGAGTGGGGATGTCTTTTTTATACTTTTGTGTACGACTACAAGGGGGAGAAAAGCATGGAACCAGTGTTGATACACCAAGATGCTTGTGAGGAGGATGGAGCAGCAACGATATTTTATGACTTACGCCTGATCAGCTTTCTTGTTTCATTGCCTTTTGTTGTACTTTTTAAATTCCTTTACTTGTTCCTTTGTTTCTTATTTGGAGTATGGAGGGCCTTTTGTGTCTTGGCTGTTTGATTAGAGTAGATGAAGGAATCGCATTCCGAAAAAACACAATGTATACGTTTGCTTCCCCTTTTGGACAACAGCTTCGCCTGGAGCGTGCCTGTTACTTTCACCTGTCAATATCAATGGAGGTTTCTTTGAGGGAACACGGTTCCTCTATTTTGACTATGGTCTGGTAGTATGTGCCTAATGACGATATCCCCTTAGCTGGGAGAGAAGATGTAAAAAATGAAAATGTATACAAAATAAAAGGGTAGTCTCTAACGCTGAAAAAAGCAACATGTGAAAACAAAGGACGATGCGAATATGTATGAAACAGCCCTGTTCTCTTGTGAAGCCCACACTACACCATGAATTGAGAAATGGTTGCAACGCGAAATGATTTGTACTGTCGTCCGCCAACGGCTCAGCACGGTCGAGGAAACGTGAAAGCGACGGCTGAACTACGTCAAGACGCAAGACGATGGATGCAGTTACGGCTTTGGCCGAGAACGAGGGCAGGGTAGCGTCATGTAACACGATGCGTTCTGAGCTCTGGGCATGCGGTTGTCGTCGATACTGAATGGCGTCGTCAACATGGCCCTATTCCGCCTTCGTGTTGGGGGCGAGCACGGCCTGATATGCCTGAGTTGTATGTGTGTGCTTTACGATGACTTTCGGAGCGGTCTGGTGAGATACGGTCAGCACATGAGGTTCGGTCATGCATTTTCCATTTGCTTTTTGCGATTTTTGGATGCCGGGGACAAGATCACGTACGCGCAGCCCTGCGGCGTCACAACGCCAAAGAAGCAGTCACCCGAGTCTTTTGCAACCACCTGGTCCGCAAACACGGGCGTGATGACAACGCCGGCCGAGACGGTCGTGGCCGCGGCAGCGACGATGGCGAGCAGTGACAACTTCATGGTTGATGCGAGTGTAGGTTGAGAAGACAGTCGAAGAGGCAAAAACGTCGTCGAGAACAAAAACGGTGGAGTCGAATGTCGTCGTTGAAAGCAGGCCGGCTGGTTGGTGATGCAAAATCGATGGCGATGAAATAAAAGGCAGGAAAAAAAAGAAACGCGAACAATGCATGCAAGAACGAAAGAGGGATCGAATAGCGGGAAGGCAATGGATGACGAGAAAAGTGAAAAGGGAGAAAGGAGAAGAAGATCACTGATTAAAGAGATAGAAAGAGAAGCACAGAGGGTCAACGCAAGCCGTGTTTTGGTAACCCCCGTATTCTGCGACAGATGCGACGCTTCACGTCGGGGATCCCCTGGCACGCTTTGCGTGGTGTCACGATAAATAGAGGGTCGAGCAAAAAGAAAGCCGACCGACCCAAGAATAATAGGAAACATAGTCAACAAATACTCTGTTCACATACGGAGAGTAGACAAATGCATTCCTGTGGTGACGGCCATGCTGGCACATTCAATGTAAACACACATGCGGGTCCCAAGACGGCGAAGCAGAAGTCATCTTCGCGATGTATTTTCTTCATCCTTTGTCGCCCTTGCTTCCCCCACGTCTCTGTCTCGTCACAGGCAGGTGGGGAATCTGGCCACCAAAGTACGAGAGTGCGACGTAAACTCGATATGTATGATTTTGTCCGTCTGCCCCGTCTGTTTCCAGACTGCGTTTCAGATCTCTCGAGGGGACCAATCAGCCCACGGCCGACCCTGAACACGGCCATGCATTTGTGCTCGACTCTTCACACTCGACATGAGCTCCATACGAATTACATGTGTGCAATTAACGAGGGAGGTACTGGTAGGAAAAGGAAATGAATGAAGATCGCGACGAATGGAGTTATAATTCTCAAGGTGTACGTCGATTGATGGAATTTGCGTACTATCACGTGACCTTTCTTCACGGTACTTTGCTTCCAGGATATCTTGGCATGTTGAACTTTCCGCCCCTCATTAACTACTCATTCGGTTGTTTGCAGCTGGTTCGTACCGACACATCACTATCGATCAGGATTGAAGCAGAATTGGTGTATCATTTATCCCAAGAAAGAACGGCCAAAACAGAAAAGGTCTATCGCTAACTCTTTTTTTTATATCGAGTGGGGGACATCGTCTCCCTTAGCCTCATTAACCCAAAAAGACCCAAAAAGTATGTCATCGTGCCCGTCATCATACCACGTCCCAAGGTTCCCACAGGTCTCGCACCGTCCCGCATGTCTCGTTGCATTTAGAAGCGGTCCAGTAGGCCCTGGCTCTCGAGCAGCAGGATGATCTGGTGGACGACGGCGCGCACCGACTGCTTCTCCAGGTCGACAACCAGGTCGGCCTTGGTGGGGGCCTCGTACGGGTCGTCGACGCCCGTGAAGCCCTTGATCTCGCCGCGGCGGGCCTTGGCATAGATGCCGCGCTTGTCGGTGCGCTCGCAGTACTCCAGGGGCGTGGCGACGTGCACCAGGTAGAAGTCGCCGTGCTTGGCGACCAGGTCGCGCGCGTGCTGGCGCGCATCCTCGTACGGCGCAATCGGAGCGGCAATGACAGCGGCACCCGAGCGGGTCAGCTCGCTGGCAACGAAACCGATGCGGCCAATGTTGCGGGCGCGGTCCTCGCGGCTGAAGCCCAGCTCCGACGACAGCTCGCCGCGGACGGTCTCGCCCAGCAGCATCGACACGGAGCGGCCGCCCTGCTGGTTGAGGGTCAGCTGCAGGGCGCGGGCCACCTGGTCCTTGCCGCTGTTGGTGTAGCCCGTCAGGAAGACGGTGAAGCCCTGGCGGGCCCGCGGCGGGTGCGACTCGCGCAGCACGCTGACGACCTCGGGGTACGAGAACCACTCGGGGATCTCGCGGCCAGAGCGCAGGCGCGAGCGCAGCTCGGTGCCAGAGATGTTGAGGGTGCGGGTGCCGGCCTTGACCTCGTCGACGGGGGCGTACTCGTCGCTGTCGGGCAGGTAGGTCATCATCTGGAAGGGCACGACCTCAATGCCCAGCTCCTCGCGGTACTTCTCGACGGCGTGCTGGGCATCGTACGGGCCGTAGAAGTCGACGCCCTGGCTGTTCTTGCCGGGGCCGGCGTGGTCGCGGCCGACAATAAAGTGCGTGGCACCGTGGTTCTTGCGGATAATGGCGTGCCAGATGGCCTCGCGGGGGCCACCCATGCGCATGGCCAGTGGCAGCAGACCCAGCACGGCCATGCCGTTGGGGTAGCGGGGCAGCAGCGCCTTGTAGACGCGCACACGGGTGAAGTGGTCGATGTCGCCCGGCTTGGTCAGGCCGACGACAGGGTGGATCAGCACGTTGGCTTGCTGGGAGCGGGCCGCGCGCACAGTCAGCTCGCGGTGGGCGCGGTGCATGGGGTTGCGCGTCTGGAAGGCGACGACGCGCGTCCAGCCGAGCTTGTCAAAGTGCGAGCGGAGCTCGGCCGGGGTGTAGCGCAGGTCGACAAAGTCGTAGTGCTGCAGGCGGTTGACGGCTTCGAGCTTGCCGCCGACGTAGAACTCCTTTGCGGTCTCGTTCAGATACTTGACGGCCGGGTGCTCCGGGTCACCGCCAAACACCTCCTTGGCCTCGAGCGCCTTGTCGGGCCGGTAGACGTCCTCGACCGTCAGGATGGCCAGGTTGCGGTCGTCGCGCAGATCGCGCAGCGTGATGCGGGCGCCCGGCTTGATGCCGACCTCTGCAATGGTCGCCTCGTTCACGTCCAGCGTGATGGGAATACTGAAGAGCGCGCCGTCGGCGAGGCGGTTGTCCTTGACCACGCCGTTGTAGTCCTTCTCGGTCATGAAGCCCTCGAGCGGCGAGAAGCCACCGGTCAGCAGCAGCTCCAGATCGCACAGCTGACGCTCGCTCAGCAGCAGCGAGGGGAGGGTCTCGGCCTCGGCGGCCAGCTCGCTCTGGCGAGGGGCATCGCGGGCGAGCAGGTCCTTGAGGACGCCGCCGTGGGGGGTGTTGGCCATTGTGTGGGGAGAGGCGGGAAGGTGTCGTTGAGAAGTTGAGAGTATAAGAGACACGAAGAGAGGACGGTTGAGGTAGAAGGAAACAGGAGAAGAAAACAATAAACGAGGGGCAGTAGGAAGGAAGGAAGGAGGAGACAGAAACGGAAGGAGAAAAGGAGAAAGTAAAGAAGAGGAAAGAACAGATCCAACTACGAGGGGAAGGAGCTACGAGGAGAGCAAGAAAAGAAAGAGCAGGTACTACATTACTTTCTTCGGCGCACGATCGGCCTTGTCTAGTTTGGAGGGGCCAGGAAGTAAGAACAAATCAACACAGTAAGTGGTGTACTAAATACGGGAAGTATATTAGAGATGGACGGCCCTGTGATGGTCTCTTGGTAATTAACGACTTTGCCATGTTTGTTCCTCCACCACTGCGTGGAAGCTACGAGGTACTTGCGCGTGGTGGTGACGTTGATGCGCTATGGCGGGATGGGAAAGAACGAACCGACGTCGAATAGCGCCAAAATCTTATTAGTCAAAGAGAGCCTTTCGCCTTCTGCGATTTTTTTTCCCTTACTTTTTTTGCCGCGTGCGTTTTAGCCCCGATGGCGTGCTCGGGCGACCCACGCATTTGACAGTCGCAACACTGCCCAAAGGCTGCCAGAGGGCTGCCAAACGTCACTTTGGGACGCGCTGAAGACTCGCCGTGCCGCCGTCTCCAGCAAAAGACGGCACGACGCCATTGACCTCCGGTGCTTCGGAATGGCGCATCCACCGACAACCGTGTTAAGACCTGCCGCAGCCGGCGGGCAAGATGGCTGCGGGGCCAAAAAGCCATGGGAACGCGGCCCTGCTAGCATTGCGAATGT